TAGATCAAATATAGAATTCTTTCAATATTTATTTGAAGCTGGTGAAGTAAGCCAAGACCAATATAATCTTTTAGTTTTTAGGCATCATTATCCTGTAACAGAGCAAGCTATGGATTATGCAAGAAATAGAATCAATAATGTTAATAGAATTTTAAATAGAGTTCCACAGGAATATAGAAATATAGTCGCACAGGGGCTAATGGATAATTTTATTCCATATATACATATAAATAGGACTAGAGCCAATCCTGTTACATATGAAAGTATAATTGAGCATCATGGTGAGCGGTTAGCTGAAACTAATAATTCATTATGTAAAGAGTGTTTAATGCCAATAGTATTTGGTGAGGAGCTCTGTGAAGAATGCCAGCAAGAAGAACAAATTATTCCTCAATGGATGTTTGAATAATATTCAGACTCGGAATCATCAAAAGAACATTATATATTTTTTGGTGTCTTTTTCTTTCTAATTAAATGAAATTTATATCCCAAATCAGAGCTTGAAGTTGAAGTCGTATCAGAATCTGAGTCTGTATCCGAATAAGAATCTGAGTCTGTTTCATTTAGAGGAACACGAAACCACTTATTTTTATATCCTTTAAGGTTTTTTATGTGAAGAATTCTTCTAACGCAATTGCCAACCATATCGATAACAATTCTAGCGGTATAGATTTGAAGTTCTTCATCATCCAAAGATCGCCCCATAAACCAAGGAGAACCAAGTAAGATTTCATCATCCATATTATGATGATGTTTTACAACCAAAATTTCGGTATTAGTAATAATAATTGGTTTATGCTTTTTATCTAATTTAAAATCAAGAGAAACCTTGGACCATCCAATAGGTGTTGTTGACATTTCTCTGAAAAATTTCATTTCTCTATCTTCTGAGCTTATTGGTCTATCAATTTTAAATCCAAGTCGATTAATTGTTTTATCTGAGCACATAGAAAATTCCCATCCAGGCCCTAGTCTACAATTAACTTTTTTGATACCAACATAACAGGTTACTAAATCTACTTTTTGATACATTTTTTTATATGTATGAAATATAAGTTTAAATCTTTATTTTTTAGTTCTAATAATTTGAAAGTAATAAGCGAATTGGAACCATTTTTTGCTTCCCACAAGGTACCCTTTTACCATTCAAGTGGCGTTTTAATAGTGAGGGGTATATGAAAATCTTTCCACAATCCAAGCATTTTCGATCTGCTAAAGATTTCTTGCTTATACAGCTATTCAAGGTAAATTTTTTTTATCTTTAGACTTGTGTACCGATATAGGGACATTGAAGAGCAAATCATTAGAGTTTCTTATATAAAGTAATCGACTCTGGAAATCTATCATTGCCTGTGCTTTATCAAGCCAAGGGGTACCAAGAAGTAGTGCAGGTTTATTATCATCGACAACAATAAAATTGGTTACTAATGTAAAGAATCCAATGCTTACAGGAACATTGTATACCCACCCAATTGTTTCTGATTCAGTAGCAACTCCTTCAAGAGAAGTAGGTCTATTTGTATCTATATCAAGCCCCAATTTTTTAGCAATATTTAAGGACATTATAGAGCAATTTGCACCGCTATCAAGGACAGCACTAGGGATGCTTAATTTATTGATTCGGCATTTTATAGTTACCACATCACTAGCTGGTTTTCGGAGGATATTAAATACCATAGGTTCACTAACATTTTCAATAGCAGGTTGATTATCAGAGGTATTTTCAGTGGGCTGTTGCTCTTTCAAAGAAGTGCATCCATTAGATGGATTTTTAGCCATGCTAGCTCTGCTATCTTGTTTTACTACCGTAATGAGATATTCTAATACTTTCTTAAGTTCCCGCATATCAGCTTCATAGGTATCCCAAGTTACAATTTTCTTTTTAGGTATATTCTTAACTACAGGATTTTTTTTTTTACGGCATTTGTGGTATATGTTTCTTCCTCATATTCCTCTGCATATTCAGCTTCTTCTTCCTCTTCTTCTTCCTCATATTCCTCCTCATATTCCTCTCCATCTTCCTCATCATTGTAAATAATATGCTTTACTATCCTTTTTCGATTCTTAGCACCTTTCTTTGGTTTAGGTTTAGTTTTAGGTTTCTTTCTAGTAATAGTTCGATTCACAGTCCTATTAGCTAGACCACCTGGAAGCTCTCTGGTTAGGTTAATAAGGG